TCTTTTGGATGCACATACTGTATATATGCAACATGTCACCTAGACAACTGCTACACATAAATATAAAATGGAAACGAATGGCATAGTTTATGAAACCTTTCAATCTAGCAGTATGAAATGCATCTGGGAATAGTATTACTATCATAGGAGATTGTGGAGAAATAAAGCTCTTGAAAAATGTTGGCACTCTGCATTTAAGATGAGAGTGTGCGTCAGAGGTGTTTTGATGGATAGTTTTGTGAGGTATGTGACCTATAACAGACAAAAATGCAGGGCTACTTGACTCACACCACTAGGCACATGCTATATAATAATATATAAAGTTCTCTCATATATAAAGTCCTCAATTTATAGACGCTTTAAATTGCTACTTTAAAGAATGTGGCAATTTCAATGCATTTTTATCATGCTATTCTCAATAACACAGTTATTTGTGAATCAATTCTATTCTTCTCCTGCATTTGATGAATTTTATTACACACTTTTGAAATATCTGAATGTAGTTTCAAGTATGTCAATTTAGGTCTTTCATACAATATACATGGTCACAACCACTCATCAGTTCACCAGAAACAAAACTAATGAGGCTTTTTTGCTAAAAGAGGCTTTTAAACCCTGTCCTTTCTCGATATGAATCAAAGTTGTAATCCAAAGAAAACATAATTGCTGCATATTTCTTACTAACAATTTAGTGCCATAACCTCCAGACACAATGTCTCAATCTGCATTCTAAGAAACCCATCTAATAGAAATTTCAGGAGGTATGAGGTTTACTCGAAATGTGTCAGCATTACATTCCTGTAGCAGACATATTGCCTAAATCCCGAGGTTGCAGATCGGTGTAAGTGATACTGTTGCCAGCTTTTTTTTCTTCCAGTGACTGGCCCATGAATTACATTCTAGACAGCTGGAGTGTTCATGTTGCTGTAGAGAAAAGCTGACAGAAGCGCTTAGCTTAGCCCTGCTGCTAAGCACCCATGCTCCCTGCCTCAGGGAACAGACATGATCTGAGTCAAAAATTAATTATGCTTCCTCATCAGAACCACGTCTAGCACTTTTTCAAAGGCAATATATTCTTGAACTTTGCCCAGATTTTGCAACAATCACAAAACCTGAAAGATTAACCACATCGACATCAACAAATACAGCAAAAGAACTATAGTTAGAAGAATTCATTTCAAATGGGTCTAAAAATCACATTTAAAATTACAAAAATTTAAATTTAAATAAATACCACAAATGAAAAATCCATCATTATTTACATTATTAGATCCTTCAAATCTATTATTTTTTTGTGGAATGCAGAAATACACAAAATACATTTCACAAAAGAAATCCATGCAATTTATAGTAAAGAGATCAAAACGAACACAAATCATAAATCAGTCCAATTAGGAAATGAATCATTTAGGCTGATTTGTAAAATCAATGGTAAAAAAAAAAGAAAAAAAACTCAAAAGAACAATTTGTTCTCTGATCCAATTACTGAGTTCAAATCACTGACGTAATGGTCCGGTTACAGCAGTCAACTTAGATTATAAAATACAGTAAAAGATTCCTTTTGCAAAAACAATTCAAAATATCTCATCTCATCTTTTTCCTACAGAATAAAGAAATTCATACAGATTTGGAAGAATATAAGAATGTAAACAATGACCATTTTCATTTTGTAAATGATTTTGGGGGAACTGCAAAAGAGTTAAAATGTCATGGTTGTAATTATTTTTTGATAATTAATGTTATTCATAATCATCCCACAGGACCGAGTTCTCTGAATCCCACATGCCAAGATGAAATTTACAAAAAGTAAGGAAAAGGAACCCACTGCTCCTGGGCAAGGTAGATATTCGTCTATATACATCTTCAGTAAAATAAATAAATAAATAAAATCATTGAGAACCTTTTCAAAATCCATTGATTTCAAGTATGAACTACATCACAGCTTTTAAAATTCTCTTTTCTTTCCTCAGTGGCCATTAAGAAGCGATCTAAAGTCCCAGGAGTAATGATCACACAGTTTGTGGAGAACATCCCAGCAGGAAAAAGCCATCCCGACTTCTCTCGCAAACCCATCGCCTTGACTATTCAGGAAGGTATAGAGTACAGCAGCTCAAAGCATCTTTAATGCTGAAAGAACAGACATAATGACTGTGTTTTTCAGAAGTACTCAAACTGACTTTGTTAAACCCTCTCACAGGAAAGCTTGCAGTTTTCAAAGCCATCATCACTGGAGATCCAACACCAAATGTAACATGGGCTCGAAACAATGGAGATGTATCTGACCCTGAAAGATATGTTGCTTCATATGATCCAGTCGTAGGAGAACATCAATTACAGGTGCCGTATTGTCTGCTACTTGTTGAATAGCATTCATTTTTCTTTAAAAATCTACTTGTGTTTCGAATTCTAACGTAATCTTCATTTTTAAAGGAACAGCACTTACAACTGCCATTGTTCTGTTATCAATTAAAACCAATAGTAATAGAGTATTACTGTATTAATAAAAATAAATCGTGTTGCCCAATAGATGGCCAATGTTGGAGTTGATCAAGCAGACACATACAAATGTTATGCAAGTAATGAATACGGACGTGCTATAGTCACGGTCACACTTAACGTGATTGAAGGTCAGTACAAAACCTCTAACAATTGTACCTGGGAATTTTGTGGCAAGCATAAAGTACAAATAAAACAAGCGAATCAGTTATCTGACTCAGCTGTTTCTGAAAAAATATTATTTCTTTTTTTTTCAGTTGGGTTCAAGAAGAGCAAAGCAATGCAGGAGGCACGATTAGGTCTGTTTGCATTTAAGTCTTGAGTGAATCACTAAAGCAATAAACAACAAAATATTTTAAATGCAAACTTCTCCTGCAGAATAAAGATGAATAGCGCAACTATATTTATTTTCAGAGCAACGAGAGAAAGCAGCAGCCGATTTAAAAAAGACCCTGAGGACCCGGTGAGTTCTTGCTGATCATACCAATGATGGTTCTAGCACAACTTGCATTCTGAATGGCCTGTTTATCTGTTTTTTGAAATGCAAAAGCAGCTGCATGTGACCAGCCTGACCCTGGATGTCCCGGGAAGGGGTGTTCATGGTGTATTGTGTTTTCGCAGAGTCGAACAAAAGGAGGAGAGGAAAGATGGAGAAGTTGATGAGAAATTTTGGGAACTGTTGCTGAGCGCTGATAAGAAGGACTACGAGCGCATCTGCGCTGAATACAGGGTGACTGACTTCCGCTGGATGTTGAAGAAACTGAACGAGAAGAAAAAGGAAATAGAGGAGCAGCAATCGCAGGTGCATTTCAAATAAACGATGAAAAATGATTACGTACTGTTGAGGGATATTTATATACCTCATTAAAAAAAGTTTAGCTAAGGCTTAACGAAATCCATCAAACAAAATAATAAATGTCATAGTTTTCAACATATAAATACACCGGCACTGGAAATGAATGTGACGTGTGAAATATCTCACTGGTCTCTATTACTATTTTTGCTCAAGAAGTGCATGTGCTAAATGCTTCTGTAAATCTAGCCCCTGAGGTCTCTTTTGAAAGTTTCGAAAATATATTTTTAACTTGCTTTTCCTCCAACAGTACATTGAACACCTGAGCAACCTGAGACATATTGAAATCAAGATGCCTGGATGTGCCGAATTTGAATTTGAGATGGATCTTAAAGATCAAAATGCCAGAATCTTCCTCTTCAAGGTTAAGCAATAGACACATTTTGATTACAGTTAAAAAGTTAAATTAAATAAATTTACAAAACATATCCACATTGTTTTGTCACAGGATGGTGTTATGGTTCCATTTAACACTAATACAGATGAGAAGCATTCTCTGCGTCAAGTCGGCAGGAAATTCATCTTTAGCGTACATGGTCTGAATGCAGAAGATGCTGGATTGTATCAAGTCGATATTGAGGGGGTCAATGTCTTCTCCACTGACTTTAAAAGTGAGCTTTAAGCATTTAGAAAGAAATAGCTCTCCATACATCATATTTACATTAAAGTGTAACATTAAAAGGATAGACAATCATTCTTTCAGCATTTACTCAATCTCACATTTTTCCATGTTTAGAGATTTATTTATTCTGTGAAACACAATATTTTGGAGAATGCCTGAACTTTCCATACAATTGAAGTGGATATGACATATATGACATAAGACATATGATTTACGTGTTGAACAACCTGAAACTTAAATTATACACTGGAATCATCACATTAGCGTTCAAATCTCATCTGCACTTGGATTCAAATTTAAAACATTCAAATAAAGGAAACATTAAAAGTCAACAGCAATTTAAAATTCTACTTGGCATGGAGATTCATGTAAAATATCTCCTTTTGTGTTTCACAGAAGAGAGAAAATGCAATGAGATGTGAGATGTGAAAGTGAGTGTGAACATGAATTTTCATTTCTAAATTAATTATGTCTTTATATGTAACAAAATATATTTTGAGTGCTGACTACTATTTGAAAGTTGCTATTTCACACTTTATTTTAAGGTCCAATCCTCGCTATTAACAAACCATTAGCCATGACTTTTGCCTAATTTGCTGCTTATTAATAGTTAGTAAGGTAGTTGTTAAGTTTAGGTATTGGGTATGATTAGGGATGTAGAATATGGTCATGCAGGATATGTGCTTTATAATTACTAATAAGCAGCCAATATGTTAATAATAGGCATGCTAATAAACAACTATTTAATAGTGAGAATTGGGCCCTATACTAAAGTGTTACCATCCTATTAAAATATTTATTTAACTTGAATAAAAACAATTAATGTATACGTTATCACAAAGTACAGTTTTATGTTAAAGCATGCTTGTTTTTGTCTCTACCTTGACAGTTCCAGCGGTAGACTTCTTGGTAGAGATTCAGGAAGTGAAGGCTGTGGAAAGAGAGGATGCCGTGTTTGAGTGTGTCTTATCTGCTCCGCTCTCTAAGATCTCTTGGCTAGGCAAGAACATCCCCCTGGAACCAGGTGAAAAGTATGACATCTCTGTCTCTGACGACATGCTAATCCATAGACTGGTGGTGAAGGACTGTATGCAAGTGGATAAAGGCATCTATGCAGCTGTGGCTGGAATGAAGTCCTGTAATACCTGGCTGATAGTGGAGGGTAAGATCAAACTCAGACATCACCCACATTTATCAGATCAATTGATACACATGTTAAAGTGTAAAAAGCCATGTGAGAAATATTCATTAACTGATATCATTGCAATTGACACATTGAACTCCCAGTTAAATAATCACTTTATTGATTCAGAGTAGATTTGATTCATAAATTCAAAATTAGAATCTTTTGTTCACAGGCAAAAGTTGAAATTATTCTAATGAATGAACAATTAAATGAACATTGATTGCTGCAGCATGGACCAACCTGACAAGCACTAATAAATAATTCATTTTGAAACCATAAAATTGACAATTTCAATAAAATGTTTTAAATATAAATGATAATAAGGAGCACAAAAGAAAACTGATTGCTTGCATTGTTTAAATGGTCAATTATGTCCATTATATCATTGAGAGCAGGACGTATGTGTGCAGTGTCATGTAGACATCCAGCAAGTTTTCCACTCAATGACCAGAATATTAACACCTCATTCCTATGTTGGTCTGCCCTTGGAACAGCTGACCCAGATCCGAACCAGAGGGGCAAGAAGGCAGCACGCAAAACCACTCAAGCAGGAGGTGGAGGCGCAGATCTGATCAAGATCGTGGCAGAACAGCAGGAGAAGCTGCAGAAGGAGCACGAGGAGAGGATGGAGCAGCTGAAACAGATTCAGGCTGAAGAGGCCGCTGCCAAAGAGGAAGAGAAACCAGCTGAGGAAATAACTGCTGCGCCAGAACCAAAGGCTAAACCTAAACCCAAACCCAAGCCCAAGCCCAAGCCTAAACCAGAACCCAAGACAGACTCTGAAGCCATAGCAGAAGAGCCAGAGGTGGAGGAGGAACAACCAGAATCAGAGGAAGCTGCTCCACCACCACCAGAGGAAGAGGCACCCAGTGAGGAGCCAAGGAAGAGAGTGAGGACTGGGCCCTTAGTCCCAGACACCATTATCGGTAAGATTACTTAAGATTAGCTGATTCTTTTGACTACATATATGTTTAACTACACAAGAAAAGTCAGTCAATAATAGTGATGTACTCTAAATGGTTTTTTTTTTTACTAAAAAGGACTGCCTCATTAGCTCGGGAAATAAGAGTCATTTGCTCGACAATCAGACTTCACCTGTTGGGCTGTATGTTTTTGATTCACACACAAAAGAAAGAAAAAAACACCTCAAATTAGTCATTATAGCTAGGGATTCAGGCTTAGTCACTCTGTAATTTTTAAATTCACTAATTAGAAAGAACTCATTGAGTCATTCACTCAAAAATGGGACTTCATCTGTCGAGTTGTATGTTTTTGATTCGCTAAACAGTCAAATGAACACTCAAATTGATCATTAGCTTGGGAATTGGATGTTACTAGTCACGGTGTATGGCTTTAATTTACTAAATAGAAAGGACTCATAAATCAGACTTCACTGGTCATGCTGTATGGTGCCGATTCAATCAAAAAAAAATCACCTCCTAAGAGTCATTGTATTGGGAATTGTACATCACTGGTCATACTGCATGTTTATGTTTATGACTTATGTTTATGATTTATCACTAATAAGAACCAGTTTAAATAAATCAATAGCTCGGAGGATAGGCTTTACTATTCATGCTGTATGTTTTTTAAATCACTAAACAGAAAAGGGTTATTTGCTTGAGACTTCTCTGGTCACGCAGCATTTTTCTCACTGAATAGTAATGCTGGAAACACTTTCAGAGTATTTTAGGATGGTGTTCAGTTCACATCGGCAGAAACATGCATGTGCGGCAACCTGCTTTTTTCCCCAGCCCTGTTTTCTTTAGATCTTGCTAATGCATAATTTTTCTGATGACAATTTTAAGTTTTATAAAACCTTTAAACTTGTCATTGTACCTGTTGTTCAGATACGGGAGTTCACTTCACCTGTGGACTGTCAGATGTTCATGCCATCATAGGCCAGTCAGCTGAAATGGTGTGCAAACTCAGCAGTGAGAAGTGTGATGGCATTTGGTATAAGGATGGAAAAGAGGTAAGCCCAGGTTGTTGATGCTCAAAGTCCCAGTGTAATAATTAATAATAATAAATAAATATTATTTAGACATGATTTAGCGATTGTATTTATTAAGTAATAATTCTGTTGAAATATCTGTATAGATAACATCCACAGATGATCTGACGATCGTCAAAGACGGAGCAGTCCATAAAATAATTGTATCAAACTGCACAGAGGAGGATGGTGGAAAGTACCGCTTTGAGGCAGATGGACGTAAAACTGAGGCGATGTTGATCGTGGAAGGTAATTAGCATTATATGTACAAAAAAAGAGGTGCATTTTCTGGTAAGTCAGAAACTTTTAAAAATAAACTCTATTGTATATTGTTTTTCAGACCCACCAAGGATGAATCAAGATGACTTGGCTAAGTTCTCAGAGCCTGTGATAATCAAGGTTGGCCAAAAAGCAACCTTCAAAATGGACTTTGTAGGTCGTGAGCCAATAAAAGTACAATGGTACAATGAGGGTGAGGAGATGCTTGAGGATAATCACATCAAGATTGAGAAGTCAGACAGTCACAGTCGCCTTCTACTTGTGAAATGTCAACGCAAAGACAGTGGAGAAATAAAGCTGAAGCTCAAAAACAAGTTTGGAACCATTGAGGCCCTATCAAGACTCATCGTTCTAGGTTGGTACATGAAAGGCCGTAATTAAGAAGAATGCTGTTTTTATATAGTAAAAATAAAATGTAAAATAACCTGCCCTTAATGGAATTTACAAACATAATACAATTTATAATCCACAAGGCATTTGTATGCACCGCCTTGAACAAAGACCAACAAGAACTTAGTATTTCTTTCTTGTAATTCAGATAAACCCACCAACCCAATGGGACCTGTTGAAGTATTAGAAGCCTCAGCATCCTGTGTGGAGTTCAAGTGGAGGCCCCCAAAGGACGATGGCGGTTCTCCTATAAAAAACTACTACATTGAGCGTAACCAAATTGGACGCAACACCTGGACGAAGATTGGAAATATCCGCGGTGAGCCCCATTATAAGGACACTGACATGGACCATGGGAGGAGGTACTGCTATCGCATCAGGGCCGTGACTGCAGAGGGCACCAGTGGCATTTTTGAGACAAATGACATCCAGGCTGGCACCAAAGGTGAGGTTGCATGTGTTTAGATCTTAAAATTGAGCATTAAGATGTCACTGAAAATGGAAGTAAACACTCGTTATCATAGAAACTGTTACATATAAAGGACTAATTTGTTACAGCATATCCTGGACCACCATCTACACCCAAAGTGGTCAGTGCTTTCAAGAACTGCATCACTTTGGCATGGTCACCTCCCACCAACACCGGTGGAACCAACATCGTTGGCTACAATATGGAGAAACGCAAACGGGGCAGCAACTTATGGGGTCAAGCGAACCCCCCTGATGAGCCAATCAAAGGTTTTCTTTAGATCTTAAAGTGCTTTTGATCTGCCATTTAGTGATTTCTATAAAACCTGCTAGGTTTTACTTACCCTTATTTCACTCATTGTCCTCTCCAAGGCAAACAGTATGATGTGAAAGATGTGGTTGAAGGAATGGAATATGAATTCCGTGTGTCAGCCATCAACTTCTCTGGTACTGGAGAACCAAGCACACCCTCTGAATTTGTGATAGCCAGAGATCCAAAAAGTAAGTCAACAACACGCAAAGAATTATCGCATTAACACATTTTATAAGCATTTGTATGGTACAAGATGTTGGATGATCAAAACCTGCTGGAATAAAGCACAAAGGAACAAAAATAATTCTACAACTGAACTACCTTGACCTTTTTGTGCTTCGATTTGGGATTTCAGAACCCCCTGGTAAAGTCATTGACCTGAAAGTCACAGATTCCACCTATACCTCTTTGTCTTTGAGTTGGACTAAACCAAAGGAGGAGGAAGGTGTCCAGGATGAAGCTAAAGGTTATTTTGTGGAATTAAGGCCAGCTGAGAACACAGAATGGGGTCGCTGCAACTCCAACCCACTCATTTCAACATCCTATACAATTCTTGGCCTCAAGTCTATGGCTATGTACTGGGTCCGAGTGGTTGCAAGCAATGAAGGAGGTGATGGGGAACCCCGAGATCTGGACAACTACATCATTGCCATGCCTCCACCTGGTATAATATGAATAGATTTTTTTATAATGTGTACATTACCTGTCAAAAGTTTAGATGCAATCAATAAATTTACATATCTTGTGAATTTTAACATTTAAATTACATTTATGCATTTTGCAAAGGTTTTTATCCAATGCGATTGGAAGACTTAATTTGCATGAATGCTTAAAAATAATTTTGTAAACAAGTATAGATTGTACTAGTATTTTCTTTACAAACCTAAAATTTTAAAAAGAAATATCAGCTAATAAGTGCTTAGTATACATGCGAACAATTATTTTTAAATACTTTTTTTTTTTTAAACATCCTATGATGCCCCTCATAAAGTTGGTTGAGAGAAGTCCAGAGTTTCATAGAACACTTTACTATTAATCTAAATTTTGGAAAATAGTGCTAATAAAAATGTGCATGTGTGTCCAAAGTTTTGACGTATTGTTGTATTGGTTTTAAATAATTAATAATCCATTTTAATGAACTGTTTTTCACTTTAAATATTTTTATATGAAGATTAATTTGCTACTCCTCAAATCTTCTTTTCAGTAAGGCCAAATTTCACCAATCGCAAAATGAAGAGCTTTATGGTCATGAGAGCTGAAAATTCTGCTCGGGTCAACATAAACTTTGAGGTATCCCAATGCTATAGAACAAAATGGTAGTATTTACTAAACGGGCATTTTCCTATCCTCAGATGACTCTTCTGATTTTAATAAAATATTAACTCTCACTTGCAGGCTTCCCCAATGCCAACTATAATCTGGCTGAAAGATGGAATACCTGTGTCGAAACGTGTGACCATGAGCAATACAGATGGGATGTCCCAGCTCCTGATTCCCAGTGCTGAGCGTTCTGACAGTGGGATCTACACCATCATTGTCAAGAACATAGTGGGTCAGGAGACCTTCAGTGTTGAGATCAGAGTGACGGGTGAGAGATACAGATAAGAGCCAAGCGCATCAGGCCTGAAATCTAATTTGCTTAGTGTGATTTTACACGCAGAATGTGTCTCCGGATAAACATACTTGTACGTCCTGGAACAACATCAACCAATCAGATTTTAGGGCTAGACTTAGTGTTGAGTCTTCCAAAAAAAGGACCAAAAGCCTGTTTATCAAGGAACACATCGTACTTGGCAAAATCTCTAAGATAATAATGAGGAATATTATGGATTGTGAGAATACCTGGCATGTTTGCAGATGATCCAAAGCCACCTGGCCCAGTGGAGCTGGAAGAAAATGTCCCTGGCACCTTGACAGTTTCTTGGGAACCTTCTCCTGATGAGAAACGAGACAATCACTTGCACTATATGGTGATGAAACGGGACTCCATCAAACGCACCTGGCATTCCGTCGCTGACCGCTTGTTCAACAACAACTTCACAGCAGTCAACATCATGCCAGGAAGGGAATATAACTTTCGTGTGTATGCCAAAAATGACATAGGCCTCTCAGAACCTTCCGAGTCCCTAACATGGGGCGTTGTCAGGAAGAAAGGTGAGCTGGCTGGGACTTCTACCTCTTTTGGTCTGCTCTCGATAAAGAATATTAAATGTACTCCTTAAGATTCTTTGTCCCATTTAGTATGTTCTTATCTCCTGCAGAAAAGTTCAGCCTCAACTTAGCCCCATCCAAACCTTGCAACTTTGACTCTGCTCCCATTTTCATGGTTCCCCTGAAAATGCACACTATCCCAGAGAAATATGAGTGCTACATGAGCTGTGCTGTGAGAGGCTTCCCCACACCTCACATCACCTGGTACCGCAACAAAGTCAGCATTAACACTGACACCAACTACTACATTACTAACACCTGTGGCGTCTGTTCCATGCTCATCTTGAGAGTCGGTGCCAAAGACAATGGAGAATACAGAGTAGTGGCAGAAAACTCTTTAGGCCGTGCTGAATGCAGCACACAGCTGACAATCTTAGGTATGCTGACAGAATATGTGTGAAAACACCAGCTGTAGTTTGACTTGGTCTTATATAAGTGTACATACAAGTTGAGCTACATTTACATTTGTGGAGATGCGCGCGCGCTCTCTCTCTCTCTCTATATATATATATATAAATAATGATGTGTAATGTGTATTGCTCTAAACATTCTACTGGTTGGGAAAAGTATTATAAGTATTGTATCCTTAAGTAAATTTAATTTCTTTTTCATTTTTCAGAGTGAAATATCTATGGCATCTGGAAGACTCCTCTGACTCATCTTCAATTTATAAATGTAAACATAATGGAAAACCTCTGCTAGGCATTTTAAATGTATTAATGTCAACTGCACGTTTGATTTAATTGTGAGTCAAGTACAATATTTTGTTCATTTCAAAGCATTTATGCAACATTTGTCATTTGATCGTTGTATTTCCTTGTCTGTAATTTCCCATCATTGATTGCTGTCACTAATAAAAATGAGTGAATTAAACGTATGTAGTGCCACAAACTTACTGTTGATAAAACTGTATAAGCTATATTTGTGACAAATATTGGTCTCCAAATTAATCATTTACTATTATGTTGTACGTGACCCCACTAGGGCAAAGATTATAAACACTTAAAAGTGAAAACAAGTAACATTTGCTCTAAATAGCTAATAAACCTGCTTGCAAATGTCAGTGCTGTACAATAACTTTCCCTGTAAATATTTTAAGTTGCCCATAAACCATGATCATAAAATATCCCTCCAACCTCCAACCAGTAAAGCATTCTTGAAATCTCCCCATTGGTAAAAGCATTTCCAAAATCAATACAAAATATGTTACTCTGAGGCATTTTCAAATAAATGTCACCAAATGCAAGAAATAAATTTAAAAAAAGGCATAAAAGTGTTTTATTTTTCATAGACCTGGCCTTGGTTCTTGCTTTATAGCTTTCCATTATTAACTTTGCCCTACAGGGACGAAAGTTCATGCTGGTAGTAAATGGAAAATGCATATAAACCTGATGGCAGATATCTGGGTTAGCGTGTACTGGGGTCAGAGAGGGACTAAGTCAAGTGGACAGATGGCAGTGCCTCTGCAGACGGGAGTGGCAGCTAGTAGACTGAAGAGCTCTAAGTGAACATATATGTGAAAATATGTCAGCAGACAACAAGAAGAAAGCATGCATCATCTAGTGCTTATGTCAAATGAAAGTAGTGCCTGTCCCTAACATTATTTGCTGATTAATCTGGAGTTTGACACGGCAATAAAAGCTTTCAAAGTCATACTAGGCTTGACCAAGCACTAAAACTTATACTAGCCTTACTACGGTCCTTCCAACTGCATATGCACAATATGTACATAATAAAGTGTTTAATAAAAACAAATGGAAATAAATCTTCAAACTAATTGCAGGACAAATGAACTTTGTCATGTGGGTTCTGGCTATAATTTGTAAATGGATGAACATCACAACAGAAAACTGTAGCCAATGGGCCAGAGAACTGACCAAAACAAAACTAGAAAGCTGACTGCGCAAATTAAAGGGGTCATATGATGTTACTAAAAATAACATTATTTTGTGTATTTGGTGTAATGCAATGTGTTTATGCAGTTTAAGGTTAAAAAAACACATTATTTTCCACATACGGTACATTATTGTTGCTCCTCTATGCCCCGCCTTTCTGAAATGCGTCAATTTTTACAAAGCTCATCGGTCTGAAAAGCGAGGTGTGCTCTGATTGGCCAGCTATCCAGTGTGTTGTGATAGGCCGAATACCTCAAGCGTGTGACGGAATTGTTACGCCCCTTACCATACTGTCATGCCGTGCCCTGGCGCGACGACACAAAAACAATAAAACCCATTACAAACGAGTCATTTGTTGCATTCAGTGGGGACATAATTACGGATTATAATGACTTATACTGTCTTTTTACG